CAGCAATTGAAAACCTAATACGCACGGGGCAAAATCAATTAAGCAGGCAGACTAACTGGCTGTTTGTGGTGTTTCACGCTAAATTGTGTATGAGTAAAACAGGAGCAGGCGCCGATCTTGTGTGCGGGTTCGACTTTGTCACGTACTATACGGCTTCGTGTGGAGTGCGCCTTCAAAGAATTCGCAGTTGCGAGTTCACCAGGCTACGGTATATTCAGATGCGAAAACGTGACTGAAAATTCAGGTACTGTTGAAAAGGGATGACCCAGATTCAAACTCGAAGCACTCGGGACATAGCACGAGCAGACAGTCCTCTCTCCAGCGCTCCTTCGTTGTCGTGCATCTTGATGTAGACAACGTCTACGTTTTGTCTTCAAATCATCTAGGCCCGTTCGGATACTTTGCGTTTTCGTGTGTAATTGATTGTTGGCTGGGTGCGTGGTCAAAAGCCGAGTTGTTAGACGCCGATCGTTGTTTTCTTTGGTTTTCTTTTCTTTTAGTCGTTTATGTGCTTTGATGTTCCGGCACTTTTCCAAACGAAAAGAAAAATTGCCGGGCTGTCGAGACAGCAATGCATCTCGACACAACATTGCAGATGTCCAAGATATTTTCGCACTGCAAGTGAGGTGAACACATCGCCTCGCGGGTTCAAGGCTGCAGGCGTCAAGTGCACACTTAGCTTTGAAAAAACTCCCATTCCATCTTCACAAAGATTTTGATTGCGACGGTCGTGAGCTAACCACCATGTGCGTCAAAAAATAGGATTTCAGTTACAGAAAAATGGCCCACTTCCAGCGGTTCATACATTCAAACCCTAGCGATTTGTAAATTTAAATGTGATTTAATCCAGGCCAGACTCCAGTAAGGCATCTGCCGAAAGAAAAGACAGACTTGCACTACACGATGAAAGCACTAATATGTAAAACGGCGGAATAACAGCATATTTAAAATGCAGTGATACTTTTAAATTTAAGAACAAAGTAACACGTATACAGTAACAAGCCTTAATATAAACTGATGCTTTGTTAATATGGATACAATCGTCCATAATCTTGGTTGTTTAGAATAACGAGACACAACTGTGTCGTTACGATATATATATATATATATATATTATTATACATTATTATTATTATTACAACGACGAGAACATTTTTTTTTTCTGTAGGTATTTATAATAACGGGCCCATATTAACGAGACATGATTTACACTTCAGAGTTATAACCGTGCCACGGACAACTCGAATGCCATTTACAACGAATGACATTTGAGCGGACGGCCAATCAGCGTGCGACACTCCGGGCGTAGCGCATTCCACGCGCGATAGATTGCGAGCTGATTCGCCGATCACACAAATGTCATTCGTTGTAAATGGCATTCTAGTTGCCCGTGTGGCACTGGTATTATTTTCTCGAGATGATCTTGGATTGAAGTTCATATAACCCTTCTCTCGAGCATTACAATGGTGCATCCCGTGACAAGGAAGTCTCTAAGCTATTTATTAACGCTGAGAAAATTGTAGACCACGGACGCGCTTACCGATATATTGTCAGAAACAACAATAATAAAAAAAAGCGGTACTATGTCTCGTTCTCTAACTAAAACGGAAAAAGGAACGCAAATAACTCCGTTACCATTCTCTCGTTGCTTGAGCGATAAAAGCGCGTTCAGAGTTTTGTTTGACAGTTACACCTCAACACTTGTGCCTGACAAGGCACAAGAACGCTGGTTTCGCGAACAACGGGGACTCGTTGATGGAGTTTAGTTAAACAGTGCAGTGCAAGACCTCGTTCATCGATAAACTAATCAAGGAAACTCAGCACTCTTCGCGCATTGCCGTAACGAAATGTCCCAAGGTCACAGGTCAAAGCTCGTGTGTTTGTTCGTTAGCGTTTCGCTTGCGATGTAGCTTCCTCAAAACAACTGAGAGAATGTAAGATATTAACACAAGTGGACGAAACAACAAAAAAGTACGGTGTAATTGACACCATGAGGAGCGATTTGTTGTTGTTCTTTTTTGTTTTCTAGGAGAAGGCTGCGCCTTGCTCTGCTCACTGTATTCCCATCAAACTACTGTTAAAAAACATTAATTATATAAACGTAAACGCATACATAGTAACGTCACATGGGGTTAATGCTTTCTCTAAAGACAAGACCAAACGTATGTCAATAGTTTGTTGTGACTGCAGACATCTGTCAAATCGAAAAATTGCTGAAAGAATTAAATTTGACGGTAAACATTTTATAATAAAACAAGAAAGGGGGATCGGGATAGAGTAACTCCATTAACTCACGTAGCAAATGCATCGCGTGCGAACTGATGCTTTTAAAAGCTTCCACGAATCGTTTCTTTCTCTCTTTTTTTTTTCTTTTTTTTTAATTGTGATGGATTTAAGGATATTGAATTTGACCCGAACACATTTCCCAAATCCCTGCCCACCTTCCCTTCAAACACGCCCGCACTTACAGAACGTACGGATTGACAGTGTGCGGGTGTTCGTTCTTTTTAGGTCTTTAGCACCGCCAGCAGCGTTTTTCAACAGTCTCGGAACACTTCGTGAAAAGGAAACGGTGAGTGGCAAGGCAAGTTCACCCCGCGTAAACACGAAGGGGGGTGAAAGCCTTAGCAAAACATTGACACAACTCGCCCCGCAGATCGTGATTTGTGTGCGGTCAACACACAGAGCTGTTTGTGCCTGTAGAAAAACGCTTCTGCTCTTCCCCGACAAGCTGGATTTACACTGTACGTCGACGCTATACAACGGAACTTCAAACATAATGAGAGCCTACCATCAGCGTATCTTAATGAAACATTTCATCTAAAAAACTCGTGAATGTTTTGCTATACATAAAAAGAAAGTATTTCTCAGGTGTGTGGAGTTTGATGGAGTATTTATAGACGTAAGTGCTTTGCAATATCAAGCAGTATGATTTTCCCCCTTCGGAAGTTGGCATTACATTGTTAATATAGGTTGTCTGTTTTGTTGTTGTTTTCTTGTTGCTTATGTGAACATGCGTAAAACTGTTTACGGGACAAACAAAGTGAAACCGTCCGAGAATGTATATCGTGATTAAAAACGTCCCAGGAACTTTCCCTTGTCACGTTACCTTGGTTTAGCATAGGTATATTTTTTTTTCCTGAAAGATCAACTCTATCGCTTAATTAAAGATTGCTTTTTTTTTTCTGATTTTAGGGAAATAATTTTTATGCACAAATTTATCAAGGCGCAAACTGATCGTGGAGAATGTTAGTCTCAAAAAGTTAAATTGGAACTACGCAGATGTTACATCGCCTTCGATCTTAAAACAGTAAAGAGGAAATACATTCTTAAGAGTCTAAGGAAAAACACTGGCACATACTACATTGAAATTGACAGTGAAACAAAGGCATATTCGAGATCTTTATGCTTCTGTCATAAACCCAACGCGAAGCCCCCCACGACCTTCCAGCGCTCTCGTCCTTCTGGCGCATCAATGCACAACTCTCGGCCCACGAAGAGTCTTTATTGTCTCCGGTGCTGAGATCGGACAGAATTTTAACTTCGCCGCTATAGACAAATATTAAAATGAAAATCTAAATCTACACGATTTTTGTTTGACCGTTTAGCGGAGGTGCTTGCCTCCACCATTTCTAGAGCCATTTTAACTTGCAGCTCATTGACCTTCGAAATTTGCGAGCGCAACGATCGAAGCTTTGCAATCTCCACTCTATTTTTACCGACGGCTACCAGAAGATTATTTTCAAATAAAAGTGAAGAATTTTGGTTCTTCTCGACACGTCAGTCTTCGGAAGCACTTAGATTTCGTATGAGCTGTTTCTTGTATACTACCGCCGAGCAGAAGCAATCTGAGGAACCGAAGGTCCAGCAAACATCTTCATGCTATAAAATGGTGTTGGTGACACGCCCAAAAGTAGACGTAAAGACATAAAAAGGAAACTTTGAACGCATACTTCGCCAATGTATTTCCCACGTTCTGGTAGCCCCAAGCTGAGCATCCCCCCCCCCCCCCCCCCTTTTCCCCCATCGACAATCCTGAAATAGCAATTTATGGTGGGCAACCCTTCAGCCTACTTTCGACCGCGAAGGTGGTCGGTACTTGCTCTAGCGCAATAGCAAAGGTATAGTCTCCCACAATATGAACAACACATTTTATGAGACGGTTTATGCGGTGGTACTATACGCAATTTGGACAGATGCCCTTCATTTTCGGAGAGAAAACGAAGGTTAATTTATTTCCTCGCAAAAAGCATCGCGGGCCTCGCCAAAGCGAATCCCGCATAGCCGCCTGAAACTGCCTCGCCGAATGGGTCTTTCATATTGTTGGACTGTACCTCGCGAACACTGCGGGTGTCATGAAAGAAAAACGCGTTTGAATTCCGCCACGTTTCGCGGTCTCTATCAAGCCCCCGACACCGGCTACAACGTAACCAAAAACCACTGGCAGCGGAATCCAAGTTCGGGTGACTCACTGCCTCGCTTCCTAAACTGGCGCGTCGGGCCAAGACACCGAACCGCGACTGAGGCTCCGCCACCGACCGACCGTCCAAACCCGCCGAACCCCGGAGTTTGTGTGGAGGGGAATGCAAACAGCCGCAACAAGTTGGCAACGCGGGAAGGCTCTCCCTTCATTGATCGGCAAACTTTGTTGGCGCTACCTAACATGGAGCGCCCTTTGGTGAGTCTTCCGTGACTCCCTTATAACTTACAAGAAGTGAAAGACGAGAAAAACACTAACGGAGGTGAAACGAAAAAAAAAAAAAAATCGGGAAGGGGTTAATAGACCAAAACCCGACCGGGTTTGTGGTGGGACAAAATTTTTCGTCTTCGAAAGCGCGTCGCTTTATTTTTAGCGCCGCGAGCAAAAACTGGGTTGATGCGACGGGTGCCTGCTGCGACCCATAGGCGACCGCGGCCTAGAAAGTTTGCAACGGCAGAAAAGAGTCTAGTTTTTGAGTCGAACTAGAGAAGTAAAAATTTTGTTGCTGTTTCCCACTCACAGAAAAAGACGGCGAGGTATTCCTCGGTCTCGAGAAGGCTCTCGAGCTTCTTGCCGCTGACGTCTTCGATGAGATCCGAATCGACCTGCGAGGCTGGCTTGGCTTTCTTCGCGTCTCGGCATCCAGAGAAGAGCAAGAGCAGAAGGAGGTGCAGGAGCAGACGGCCAGCCATCTTCCTCTCGACTGAGGCCGCCGGCGAGAGCGCTGCGGCCGCCGGGACTCGCCGCCAGGTGGAGACACCGAACGCCGAGCCGCGCTCCAGTGCGCCCTGTGCGCTCCTCCGTCGCTGGGATTCGATGCTGTCGCCGAACCGAAGGCGCCGAGGCGTTTACCGCTCTCGTCGGCTGTCGCCTCGGGATTACAACTCCGTTTTCGCCTTACGATGGACCACAGCGGACGCGACGAGCCAGCCCAGCCAATCCGACGCAGTGAACGTATCACGTGACCACGCGCTCCGCGCGTTCCGCAGCCCTTCCCGAAAGTCACGGGACACTCGTACGGCACTAGATTGGCCGGGACGCCTCTTAGTGTCCCCTGCGGTCCCTCGTGAGGTGGAAAAGGAGTATAGCGGGCATCGGGCTAAAGCCCCAGTACCTGCGGCACCCTTTGACATTTGGGCAACGGGAGAGACGGTCGTCGTTCGGTTCTAAGCTCGGAGATTTCATTTGGACGGGAGGAAGGAGATACTCCGTTTCATACTCAACATACAACGCTGTAACAGATACTGGCGCGAGCGCGTGGCTTCATCTATGATTTCGTTCGCTCGAGGACGCGTGCAAACGTTCAGCGAGATCAAGGCCTACGCTCGCGCCAGCAGCTTTCACAGCGTTGCGGATTAAGTAGGAAGAGGAGTATGCGCCGAGAAAACTGATGGAGAGGAGGAAAAGATAGCGCGCGGGGACGACAGAATGCCGAGCTCTGGTTGGAACGATTAGTGGGTTCGAATACGAGAGCCAAACGCCGGACGCTGGCGTTCTGTGTTCTAATCCGTTCGACGAGTGCAGTGGAGACAAAGGTGTCTCCACTGCACTCGTCGAACGGATTAGAACACGGAACGCCAGCGTCCGGCGTTTGGCTCTCGTATTCGAACGGCTTCGACCAGTGCAGTGCACACAAGGGCAGCTAGCTTTCCGTCTACCCACTAATCGTTGCAACCAGAGCTCGTCGTTCTGTCGCCCCCGCACGCTCTTTCGTCCCCATTTCCCTCACTTTCTCGGCGCATAGGTGATCCGACGCTCCTTCGAATGAGGTGCGCGGAAAGAATCCCTCGCAGCAAAGACTGGGATCATCTTAATTTTATAAAATTCGTATTTGTCCCAAGCATAGTCGAAGACGATAAAAACATCCCCTCTTTTCTTTTTTTTTTTTTTTTGTGCCGCGGAGGGTGTTTTAGATTACCTTAATCTAACTCGCCGAGTTGACTTTTTTTTTTTTTTTTTTTTTTTCGTAAGGTGACGTTATAATAAAGAATTGTCGCTGTTTGTAATCACTTTCTTTTTTCTGCAGTTCCGTAGCTTTATGTTTCTTTCTTTCTCGTTATACAACTGCGTTCGGGACTAAAGTAATTGTTGTTTTCTTCTCCTACCCTACGAACATGGTCTTGGACTGGGAGAGATTAGTGTTTTAGTTTAATAACTAAAGCCATAAACCCTAATGATAGACTATAATGGCCGACTGCGTACAGAGACACTCTAAAAAAAAAATGCCCGTGCGTCTGCTTTCCCGCACAACACTCGGAGAGCCAATCACCGCAACTTACGGAGGCTGCTCAGCGAATGACAATGCCAAGACATATGGTTAGACCAAAAAACGCAGTATGAGTTGTAACATTAAGCAATGCAAGCGTGACGTTTTGCATTGCTTAATGTCACCACTCAGACTGCGTTTTTTTTTTTGTTTTTTTTGGTCTAAACATACGTTTCGGCATCGTCATTCGCTGAGCTGCCTCCGTAAGTTGCGGTGATTGGCTCTCCGAATGCTGTGCGGGAAAGTAAACGCACGTCTTTTTTATTATTACTTTTTTTGTGTGTGCAAAGCAGGTCAGTACTGCTCAAGCGCTTAAGAATTGTCGCTAAAGAGTTTGGCCTTCGGCGAGTTGAATGTTCGTCCAGTGGGACGACCACATCAGACACTTCGTGCCGCAGCGTACTGCGCCCCGTAGAGAAAGCTAAAAGCCGCGGCCCCCTGTACTAATACATCGTACAAAAGACATTCTGCACACACTGTCTGTGTTTCTTCTTTGTATTGACGGTCCCGTCGTATCGGTCGTACAAACACTGTCTGCGCATATTGCAACAGTGTATATACCGCCCACAAGCACATACGTGCTTTTACGGGCCCGGATAATTCACGTACTAGTTCATTATGCGATAAACTTACGTATGTATGTAGGTTCGAAGCATACATATGTGTGAAACCAACATGTTTCGAACGAGCTCAATCGAGGCATATGTGCGCAGAAAATTGTGCCATCATGTCCGCAGCAAACGCCGTGTCTTTTGTGTGATCGCTGAGAGGCGCGACTGCAACTTTAGTTTCCCTCGCACGATACGGGCCGCAACGTTTCGAGGTGTTCCTTTTACCAGTCTAAGAAAACAAAAACAAAAAAAAGAACGATAAACTTTTTTTCTTTTTCTTTTTTCCGAGTCCGGATGCTCACGAAATCTGCTTCCCTTTTCCTGTTTATTGAACTGAGCCGAGGTTGCAGCGATTATATGCGGTTAGAATGGGCGAGTGCTTCCTATACGAAACGCCTCGTTAAAATTATTTCTTACCCGCGAATGAACCGTTATCGTGTTTGTTATTTTATACGAGTATGTGCCCGTGTGCGTAGATCGCACGTGCACGCGGCGGTATGTGTGTATACAAAAACTACCGAGTGCGTGCCTGTGTGTGCGCACACCCGTCTGTATTTTGTGCGCAAGTGTCTCGGGTGCTAAGGTCAGCGTTCCTTTTCCGCATAAGGACGGCACCCAGCGGCGGTCGTGCAAACTTCGGAACGAAACGTCCTTCGTGCAACCGATGCGAATTCGGCGCAAGCGCGAGGTGCTTGCGCATGCGCAAAATGTGCGCAACGCGAGGGTCTTTAATATATGCTACAGATGTTTCACACATGCGAAGCAAAGCAGTAGAACAGCCGTAGCATCTTACCTGACTGATCGGAGCTGCTCTTGCGGCTAGGGGAGTCGTACGTTTTACGGTACCGCAATACGAACTTCGCCTCTACGAACTTAGCGTCACACGATGGCCATGCAGCTGATCACGAGGGCGGCCATCGTTCTCCTGCCGGTGGTTTCGGTTTCGCCGTAGACCCCCGAAACAAAACTTTGATATGTAGTATCTACAAAACTACACAAGGTATCGAAAAAGAAATGACTCCACGTAATTCAAAGACTACACTAAACACCGTCGTAACCCTAAAATCGAAAAAATGTACTGAAGTTAAGACAAGAGACATTCGCATTATGGGCGTTGATAGGAGGGTGCAAAAGGGGCAGTTGCCACCCCCAAAGTAATCTTGCGCATTCCTTACTTTTTTTTATATAATATCATCGCTGGCACAGATAGGTTCGAAAAAAATGCAACGGATATCAGGAACTCCTTTATACAGGAAAATGTAATCGATCACGGCATTTCATTTTATGAGACAAAGAAAGCGGCCCCGTCTGACCCGTGCCGGGGCTCGGAGTCGGACTCTACTGAGGCAATTCTTGTCCGCGTCACTCCTGAGCAACATCCACCCCCTAGATTCCAGCTTGGTATGGTATTCACCCTCAACTCATCTATTACAGGTACGTATAGTAGCCGCTTTAATTATGGATATTTTCCCGTAAATCTATATTTGACCAGATGAATACTTTACCCGTGTAGAGGTAGCAAACAACACTTACTTACCCATTTACTTATCTGGCGTTTAACTGTAGATAGAAGTTTAGTTGACAAAGGAGAAAACCCATTGAAGGAAGAAATAAAAATAAATGGCAACATTCTTATTTAAGAAATCACCGCGAAAACTTCACTGGTGCCAGATAAAGCTTGGGTTTATTTTGGATCTTGTTCCAGTATAGTGCGCTTTGATCTGTATTTGTTCCTGGAAATGAATTATAATTGTGGTTCTGTATTTGTGAACTTTGTAGTTGGGATATTGGTATTTTTCAATTTACATTTGTTTTATTAATCTTAAGTTTTTATGACCTCGCGTAATCGAGAGCCAAATGATAAGTGTTTTTTTGTTTTCTTTAGTTGTATAGCTTCAAAGCTCGCTCACTCATTTTGGTGGTATCTAGCTTTCTCATGATTCTTATTTTGAATATTACAGGGTGTTTCCACGCAAGATCGTACAATGGTGGTCCGAGTCATTATTTTTTTTTTATATATATATATTTTTTCTAAAAAATTATACGTGAAAGCCGTGCTTTTGGGAGGAGCATTCAGCTATATGCTAATGAACGCCGTAGCTAATTTTCTTCCGGAGATATCAAATTTCGAAGCTCGAGGCGTGGAGATTGCTAAGGTTTCACTGTTGTACTTTGCACAGCCGTCGATTTTACACCAAAGCAGGCAAGTAATAATATTTTGCTACTTATTTTATAAAAGGTTTCAAACATGGACACTAACTATTAAAATTACAATAAGAAATTTCTATAAAAAATTTAAAAAAATGCGAAACTCGTCAAGTAAACTTGTTTTATATACATATTCACAGACTATTTACCAACAAAAAATATTTATATAAAATTGCACAAAATCTACAAAAATGAGCGTCTTTAAATTTTAAATTCATTTTACGAATATATAAAAAGGATATGCTTAGCCGCTATTGTAGTTATGTTATAAATGCAGAAACGCAGCTGATTTCTCTAAATGTGGCAAAATTGCAGGTCAATATATTTCGAAAATTTACATATCTTACTTTTTCTGAACCTTCCTTAATCGTCTGCAGTGTCTTAAACTAGCGTGATGGCAAAACAATGAGTAACATATGACCCTCAAAAAAAAAAATGAGAACAAACCTTCACTCAGATTGAGCTAGCTTGTCTTCGTTATTGGGGGTTTGCCGTGAGACATCGGCTCCGAAGAAATATTTTCTAGAACCGACGAAGGCTTTACAGCGGCGCTGCTTTATCGTAGGGTGCGGAAAGTCGTGCTGTCCCTAGCTTAGCTTTATATTTGTGTTTCACTGCGTTGCATGCATTGGTCCATATCAATGCGGAGCGCAGGTTCGTCTGCTTCATGCACCGTGGTTGCGATGACGTCAGAACGCAGAGATCTTATTGGCTGATTGAAAAAATAGTGGGTAGAGCTCAAGGCATCTAACATTGCGGTCTACCCACAATCCTTCAAATCCAAGCCAATCAGAGCTCGGCGTCGTTATGACGTCACCGCGACTCCTGCGCAAGAAGCAGACGACTTGTTCTCCGCATGTCCCCTAGAATACAAGCCCTGCTCAGGACGTCATCGTAAGCGGATTTCCTGCAGGGACAACTGCGACTCATGATTGCTCGTTAGCGTAAACAATCGAGCGGCAGTGGCTTGACGCAGCTGCTTCTTGCATTGT